CTTCTGAGCAGTTCGCCGCTAATAGTGAGCAAAACTCACCACCGGCACCGCCGCAACCATCATCAACTCCTCTAGTAGTAGTAGTAGTAGTAGTAGTAGTAGTACTAGTACTAGTACTAGTAATAGTAGTAGTAGTAGTAGTAGTAGTAGTAGTAGTAGTAGTAGTGTTGCAGCAGTAGCAGTAGCAGTAGCAGCAGCATCAGCAGCAGCAGTAGCAGTAGTAGTAGCAGTAAGTTAGTAGCAGCAGCAGTAGCAGTACAATACGACGACAGCTACTGTCACTGCACAACTCCAGTGGTCTTGTCCTCTTTACCCGGAGCTGTCTGAAGACCCACAGCAGATCCTGGCGTGAGGCTTGGGATGACTGGCGTGACTGGTCCAAAAACATGGCCTCATGCCTCAGATTGGTGTCCGGGTGAGAGAACGAAGAACGCAGGTTGCGGGTTTCGGGATCTCCAGAAGGAATATTCGAACTGCAGAGTCTCGGGTACTGAAGCTCGTTCTGGGACACCTTGATTGAAGCCTGCATATCAGGGTCCTGATTCCAAGCTTTAGCCGACATGATTTTCGAAAGTCAGATTGTAGACTGCGATCAGGGCAGGGATGTCAGTTGGATCTCACAGTCGTCCGCCGTGAGATGACTTCAAAAACCGATGTATGAAACCGAAAGTCGAAATCTGCTTACTGCTGCTTCACATTTTCATGACGCTGTACCTGTGCACGCATGTAAAGCAGCACTAGTCAATGACACCTCCAAACCAGATCCCCAAGCCCTTCTCCCGACAACTTCGAACTGTACATGCTTACGTGCTTAGCCAGGGCACCGAAAACCACGAATCGCATTCTTGGTCAGGCTCCGTACTGGACGGAAGATTTCATCTACGACTTTAGCTATGCGCCGTGCTCTTGAAGAGTTTGTGTCGGGGCTCTGGTCAAAGCATGCGAGTGTCCTTCTAGTTAGCAATCTCGTCGGCATCAGGGGAAGGCATCATCTTTACATGGGGTCCCGGGTTCTGTTGGCAGAAGGAGCATGTTGGGGGGCCTTTATCAATGCTGGCAATCGCTGGTGCATGCAGCCTACCCTCACCATTGACATTCAAATCGAACGTCCTCCAGAACCTTGGAGCCTTCAAGTCATCGACCTGCTGTAAGCCTTGCCTGCAGATTCGGAGCTTGCTTAGGGACCTCTCGTCACGCCGGACGGTTTGCTCCAACTATGTTTCAAGGCAACCGGTCGAGCGGCCCCTGTAATAATGTTGTATGCCGGTGAACGGTAGCATGATCATCTATTATACCAACCGATTACTCCCACAGACATAAATTTGAAAGCTCAGGTCGGGCCCTGGAATTTCACGGCCACGCGCGGGCTCCGAGCCTGGTTTGAGGGCCTCTCTCTGGCAACGAGCGGCGTTTGTGTGTTGTTGGGTGGGTTTGCTGGTATTCGTGTTGTTATGAAGGGGCCGGCGGCCAGTGCTTGGCTTAGTCTCTACTGTAGCTGCCTGACAGGACTTCTTCTTGCTTTTGACGTCGCCTGTCTAGAAGAGTGCCAGAAGACTGACTGCGGCACGGGGATACAGTGGGAAAGCCGAGTTGTAGCTCCATAGGACTTCGCATCCATTCTCCACTGTTTCTACTATGCGCTACTGCTCGTATCGCAGGCTAAACTTTGTCGTCCGAGGAAGCTGGAGCGGCCACACGCTGAAGCTATCCTCTGTAGACTATTTTGAGGGGCTTGTCGCGCATATTTGCAGCTTGCACTCTGTGGATTTCTTGCACTTCGTAAGCACCCCATTCTTCACGTCCAGACCCCCGGGCACTGACGCGGCCATATCTGGCACGCCATCCGCCCGAAATGCCAACCAAGGAGAGCACATGCACTTCAACCGCGCGATCCCCGACTCGCAATGGCAGGTAGGATCTCTTTTGCTTTTTTTTTCAGGGGTTTTCCTTCGGATTTTAACGCGTTGCACCGGGAAGCTATAATTTTCCGGCATGTTAAGAAGTAGGCACGAATTGCATTCAAAATACCGTCAGAACGTCGGAGGATTTCATTGGCAGTGTCCTGTCAAAAACGTCCATGTCCAGCATAACTGTAAACATACTTTAGACGCACTGTTGGAGTTTGGTTTGTTGTCAATACGAGATGTCATGTAAAAGCAGACAGACGCGACCCCAAACACATGTGAGTCCCTCTTTATTTAGAGCCGTCGCATGACTGCCGGCACCCTTTTCGCAGTCTGGAAGGTTGGCCTTGGTTTCAATGCCACTTGGCATATGCAAGCGAACGTACACGACGAACAAAAAGATTGCAGGCCCTCGCACGACTATCAAAGATCGTGTTTTGGGCTGTCGAGTGCCTCTCAACATCCTTGTGGTGTATTCTTGCAAGTTGACTTGGTTTTGTTTGTGTGTGGTTTTGCATTCAATATGGCTGTCATACACAAGCAAGCGCATGCGACAAAATTCTGGATTTTTCACACAAGCATCGCTATCAAAATCGCTTGCCGGGCCGTCGCACGAATGCAGCAATCTTTTTCTGTGCTTGTGGAGTTTAGCAGTTTAGCTTTGATTGTTCTCAGTTCGAGTCTACGAGCCGCTGTCAAATCACACGACCCACACACGATTCGAGTCCGTCTCAGGGGCCGTGACATCACTATCGAAATCCTATTTGTGTTTCTGTCCGCCAGAACAGTATAAAATTTTAGTTCAGCATTTTAGAAGTTGGGCCGTGCTTTCAGTACGAGCTGCGCGCAACAGCACACGGACACGAAAAAGCAATCACGAAGGCGGCCCTCGCATGGGTGACGAAGTCTTTGTTGGGGTTTTGGAACAGTGCAGAGAAACCGTACATTTTAAGCTTCGGCCTTGATTTCAATGCAGCTGTCATACACTAAAGATGTGACACAAGAATCATATGAGCCCGTCTCTGGGTTCGTGCATGTTTCGAGTTTGGCTGAGATTTCAATGAGAGTTGCCGTGCAAAAAGAATCAGCACTTGAACGAGGGCATCCGGGTGAATTGATGCCACAATTCTCTATCGTTCTTGGGCAGCAATACGACTGATCATTCTGGCTCTTGTCATAGAGAGCTTGAGCCGGTGCATCCGTCATACGAGACGCACATCGCTGTTCAGCTGCGGTAGACGTCACGGTGCAAATAGAGTCTGTCAGGGCACTTGATGCCTGAAGTTGACGAAGCGAAAGCTCTGACATCTTCGTCCAATGCTATTCAGCCCTGTCAACATGGTTGTGCCCAGCTTCGGTGGTTGGATGTTCGGGTCTTTGGGCTGAACGTTAGTTCGTCATTCCCTTTCCTGGAAGGACTTCATCCGCGCGGCTCGGGGGCCTCGTGTGACTTCTGCTCCTTGTTCTTTGCCGTTTACGGGTGCTCATCCCGTACGAAGAGATCCAAGAATGGCTCCAGGCCAAAACCAGGACTTGAATCTCTTGCACCTTTGGGTCCTTCAGTGAAACTTTGACCTTTCATTCTCGTGAGGTTTCTATTTTCTACAATGTTCTACAGGATTTTGCTGCCGTGTTGTCGTGCTTTCGTACAAACTCTCAACCCACTGATCGTCATCCTTGTGTAGAGGTGGGAGACTGCAGGTCCCGGCGACCCAAAACCCACAGAGGAAAATCTGCTCATCCCTGCAAGAAACCTCAAAGCTCAACTAGCCAGTTCAGGCTTCATACGGCTTGGCGCGGTGGACGGGCGAGTTCGCCGGTGTCTTGACGGCGTATGTAAGTTTCCTGCCCAGTGTCCCGACCAAATGCCTAGAAGCCAATTGCTCCGTCTGCAGAACCGTCTCTTTTTGAGTTTGAGTTTGAGTGCAGTCATGCCCGATGTGTGATTTCAGTACAGATTCTCTGGAGCCGTCTCAGATCCTTGATACCATGGATATTGATTCTGTTGCAGGCTTGTAAGATCGGAAGGGTTTGTTGGTTGAGGGATGAACAGGGTGTTGTATTGCAGGGAAACCATGGCTCGTGATTGCTGAGTTGGCGAAGCTTGGGCAAAACCAGAACCCTCCGGTCTTGAGTCAGGCGCATGCAGCTGTTGCGTGGCATGAATCCAGGCCCACATTCTCCATCAAAGACAACACACAGATGTCGGCGGTCTGGGGAACTTTCCAAAGTTGTAAAGGCCTGAGTTCTTAATGCGTCGGCAGAAAGGTCGTGGATTTACCTGCCCCCCGACCCGCGATCCGGCAAACCCCACCGACTCTCACTGCGCTGATAACTTATGCTGCGTGCTGAGTCCTCCAAACGCTACGGTCCTTGATTGTCATTCTTGAAGTATCCCGCCCAAGCGCTCGCACTCCTGTGCCCTAAGCCCTGAAATCGTGAAAGCTTGTGTCGTTCCCGCGCAGCTAGGCATTCATGGTTTGCAGGTGAAATCCTCCATCAAAATTAGAATAAAGCAAGTGTGTAACGCGTGAGTTCGCAGTACTTCGTGTGGTTTTAGGGTTTTGCCGCCCAGGTGTCCCACCGCCGGCGGAGAAGCCAATCGTGCGCATCCGCGATCTTGACTTCTACTTGCTGGACGGAAATCGGATCAAGATCAACTGGTGCCTCGTGGACGTAGTGCACCTCTTCGAGCAGGTGGGCTACGACATCTTGCCCAAGGCCCCAATGAGAACTGATGGCTACGGGTACCGTGCTCCCCATGGCATGGATGGACTTACCGCTCCTCTCAGCTTCCTCTTTTCCGAGAAAGATGCGCTCGAGTCTGAGAGGGTCTGGAAGGCGGCCTTGGAAGCGGACTATGACACCTGGGCCTCTGACGCTGTGTCCTCGCTCTGGGCCGAGAACATGATCTGGTACGGGCCGGGTGGTGTTGGCACAGCATCCTCACGTGAGGAGTACCGGAAGAATTGGCTGGCGCCTCTCCGTGCTGCCTTCTCGAACCTTACACGTGAGACGGACTTCGTGATCTGCGAAGGTCCTTACTGTGGGGCGCATTTCTACCTCTGGGGGTATCACACAGGCACCTGGCTGGGTGAGCAGGCTACCGGACGGCGCGTGCCCATCCGCTGTGGTGCGCATGCACATGTGGTGGGGGGCCGAATCATCGAGGGCTGCTGGCCTGAAGATTAGGATTCGCCTATGGTTTCGGATGTGCGCTTCGGGATGTCGTAGTGTGTCCTGCAAAAGAGGAGCTGAGTCGACCGAATTTCAGCACTGCAGGTTGGATGATCGTCGACATCCCGCGGGCCTTTGAGGCAATGGGAGTGGACTTCTACGGCCGCGCTAGGCGCATCGCGCTTGCGCGGCGCGAGGCTTGAACCGCCAATTCGTTGAAAAAGCCCCTCGACATGCGCGATGTCTGAACCCAAGCCTTTGTTCCCAACACCCTAAACCCTAAACCCTAAACCCTAAACCCTAAACCCTAAGCCAAAAGCTTCTGGAGCCCATCTCAGACACGGTTTCTTCGCGAGAGGACTGGCTTCTTGAGGCCCTTCTCCCCGAGGCCTCGGGGCGGGTTTTCAGGGGAAGGATCTCCGAGTCTTTTAGGGCTTTTAGAGGGTTTTAGGCTTGGGTTTTTTGGGGTTTTGGGCTTAGGGCCGCAGGTTTTTGAGGGTTTTGGGCTTAGGGCCTTAGGGTTTCTAGGGTTTTGGGCTTAGCTTAGGGCCTTAGGGGTTTTAGGGTTTTGGGCTGAGGACCTTTGGGTTTTTAGGGCTTCTGGGTTTAGGTTTCGTGGCTTCAAGGTGGATCTGGCCGAAACAGGTGCGCCCACGCACGGTTCTCCGACAGTATTGTTTGGGTGTCAGGTTCATATCCAGCAAGCTAGGCCAGCTGCTGTTTCAAAATCTGCGATTCAAGTCCTTGTACAGTCCTCATGGGGATTTATATTTGATATGTTGCATGGGGGCGTCCAGTACATGGCAGAAAGTCGGTTCTGGCATGGCCGAGGCGGAATAGCAGCAGAAGAAGAGGATAGACATCAGTTGTTTTCTGAGAAGCAGCGCGCCACGAGCCTTGCGAGGTGGAGGCATCCGTGGCATTCTTGCGCCGGCAGGCAGAAGTTGTGTAAAGGTTTCGGGTCTTGAATTGTGCGCTTGGGGGCTTTTGAGACCGAGGCTCAGAGTCGGCATGAACTGCTCAGGGTCGTAGGCCAGGTTTATGGAAGCCTGTCAAGGAGCTATCTACGGCTGCGAGATTTTGCAGGAATCATGTTGGATCTCATACATTGTGGATACGAGAGAAATCATGTCCTGGACATTCGGTGCCGGCAAGCAGGTTCGGGTATGGTAGGACGAATGCGATCTGATGCCCGGGCTGCTATGCTTCGAAGGCGAAACCCACTTGAAACCTCAAGCTCTTGACTGGAGACCTCAGAGCAAAAACTCCCAAGCTAGTCGTGCGCTTCAGCATGAGATGACATCGTGTCTTGCTAAGAAGGGCTTCTACTTTAGGTTTTGGATGCAGGGTTGATGGTTATCAAGGTGGAATGTTTGCATTTCTGAGCTGGTAGGGTTTGCATAGGAGTATTAGATGGTTTCCAGGCTCGCTAAGGTTCTGGGCACTTTGTGCCATCAACGCTCGTGGTTTGGTGCCTCGAAACCGGACATACCTAAGTGACCTCCAGTGCCACGGATAGACTCGCAAAGCCCTGTGGCTGTAGCACCCCACTGAATCCCGAACTCCTGCACCCCGATCCTCAAATCATGAACACCGAACACGAAGCCTTAAATTCGAAGCCTGTAGCCTTAAAGCCTCGAGGTCAGAGGCTGTTCGAATCCCATGCGCCAGTTATCTCAACCCCGAAACGCCGACAACCCTCGGCTCGAAGTGCCCCTACCGCAAACACCCGATTTCGTGACCCGAAGGGCTGCAACCGCTTCGGCCTGGTCGGCTTCGGCCCACGAGGGGGTCGGGTTCCCGCCTCCTTCGGGTTCCCTGCACTTTCGAGGGTTTTCGGCTTTTGAGGGCTGGTTTTGGATGGAAGCTGGAGGTATCATTTGGCATTTCAGGATCTTTGGCTTGGAAATGGACGAGCGGGCGACGTTACCCAAGACGCATAGCAGGGAGGGGAGGTACCCAGGCGCCGTTTGGGCTCAGATGCATCGCTTGGCGGCCTGCGACGTCTGGAAGGCCGGAATAACCTTTCACCCTGCTCGGTGGATCGGTGGTATGTATACGCTCCCCCAGTCCTCCAAGTGGCAGCTCCCTCAAGGTGAGGATCATCCTGGGGCATATCGGATGGTCAAGAAGGCAAGTGGGGTGTTTTGCGGTCTGACCGGTAATTGTAGCAATCGCAGGAACTGAAGTAGTCGTGGTGGCGGTAGTGGTGGTCGTGATCGTGGTCTGTAATGGCAGGTAGTAACCAGGTAGTAGTGGTAGTGGCAGAGGTAGCCCGAATATGGCTGAAATTCAAAATTAATTAGGATTAAATTCGAATTTCAGCCATGGTTCATCCAGTAGCCGGCTGCCCGCAATGAGGGATTAAATTCGAATTTAATCCCTTTTAGGGTTTAGGCAGACTGCACGGTTTAAATTCGGTTTTCATAGTCTCGTCTATTTGTGTATACGGCTTACATGGGTTAACATCGAATTAAATTGCAAGTCCTTCCGTCAGTTATAGGCATGGTTTTAATTCGAATTAAGAGCTCCTGCTATGGTTTCCGGCATGGTTTTAATTCGAGTTTAGAGCTCCTGCTATGGTTTCCGGCATGGCTTTAATTCGAGTTTAGAGCCCCTGCTATGGTTTCGGCATGGTTTTAATTCGAATTTAACCCTAACCCTTCAACCCTAGGCCCTAAACCCAAAGGCCTAAACCCAAACCCCTTAAATGGGCCCCTACAGCCTAACCCTTAAACCCGAAGCCCTAAACCCTAAACCCTAAATTCTAAAGCCTAACCCGTAAACCCTAAACTACCCCTAACCCTTAAACCCTAAGCCATAAGCCTGAACCTATAAACCCTAAACCCTAAACCCAGCCTCATCCATCAGCCCTACTACAAGCTAGCAAGAGTGGTTCTTGAAAATAAGAGTAGAAGCAGGTTAGTACACCCACAGCAGTGGTAGATGTAGTGAGGACATGTTCGTATGTTGCTGTACACGCCCCCGCACACACATATGTATATATATATATACATACATATATATATATATACACGCATATATATATATATATATATAGTTAGATACACACGCGCACACACACACACACAAGCACGTGTACGTACATAAGTACATACATACATACATACATACGTACGTACGTACGTACATACATACATACATACATACCACGTACGTATACAGATGTACGCATGTACACTATGTAAATCTGCACACAAGTATCGGCATGTACTGGCGAAAATGCGACGAACCAGCCCGAGACAGCGCTGAAGCGCCCAGCGGGCGCCCCGAGCACCGTGGCCGCGCCGGCCGCGACGAAGTTCACACCACAGGGGCCGAAGGAGGGGCATGAAGAATCCGGCGCAGGGAGATTAGTTTCCGTCTTCAATGCTCTATTGCTCTGAGGTTGTGTGGTGTTTGACCATGAGGTTTCTTGGTAGCTTGACACAAGCAATCTTTCAGCGCAGCTTGGCTGGGACTGTGTGGGCTTGGCAAGTTCCTTGGTCTCCTCATGCAGTTGTGTAGAAGTTTAGAGGGACGTGGCAATTGCATAAGTACGTCGCAACTGCTATGTGACTTCAGGGGTAGTTCCCCCAAGCGCACCAGCCTGCCGTTGAGTTGATCACGCAAGTTCTCACACGAGAGGCGGCTATGGCAGCTCCTGTATTGAGAGCAGTTGCCTGCCTCACCAACTCGGCACTACAACTCCGCCCCGATAGAGAGAGAGAGAGAGAGAGCAAGATACACAGTTACATTATACAGTAGCATGCAGCAACATAACTGCCAGATTGCATACGTTGTTGACCGAAGCTTGTCATGGATTTCACAGGTTTAGGTTCTAGCAGGCTGCGCTTGCCGCGATTGCAGGAGACGTGGGTGAAGGGGAAGCTGGAGGTTGCTCACTGTGTCGCTTGAAGCATTTGCATTTCCTAAGGGCAGGGCACCCGTCTGCTTACGGTTGCTATGTGTGGGCAGGACACCGTGAACCTCAAACTGTGAGAGAGAAGAGCGGCCCGTGGATTGAAAACGTGACTGCAGAAGCCAGTACATGCGCATTCGTGTGGAATCTTGAGAACGGATCTGGTTTGGCTGGCTGCAATCATCTCGTAGAACAGCGATATGGCTGCTGCCAAAGAAAGTTATGAGAAAGCACTATTGTTAATAACCGGAATAACATGGCACTGACTTTGAAATTCCACAACTCTACATCCGTCTCACAGCCCTACCTTCCCCTTGCGCATATCTACAGATTCACAGACAAGCTATAGACAGCCATTTTTGGAGCCGTTTAGTGATCCTGCCAACGTGCAAGACACTCCTCACGCTAGCTCCTTCCAGGTTTCCTCATAGACTTGAGTTGCTTGGAGTTGTGCGGCGTGCGAGTTGCAAGGGGCCGCCCAACAAAAACCACAGCAGCAAAGACACGACGAGCAGCGCTGGCATTGTAAATCTTGCGCTCCCGTTGCCATGGCCCTGTAGGTTCCAAGTCCGACTCCGATTGCCATCCAAGGTTAGCTGAAGCACGTACCAGAAGCGTGGTGCTTCCCTGGTCTCTGGCCTCAAGGAGATGTTTCCCGGAGACGCTTGGCTGAGGTGGCCTCGGATGCAGACTTGAAGTGCCGTGGAAGGTAGCGCAGGCCACTGGCGTCAGCCAACAGCAACCGAACCCCACAGAATGAAGAACTCGTCTCGTGCAAGATGCCGAGACGACGTCGGACCAGGTCTTCTCGGAACGAGCGCAAAGACGTGCGCCTGAACCAAAACGCGTCTGATACAACATTGACTACCCTACAAAAGAAGCCTTGAAGCCTCGGAGCCTCCAACAGACGACCATCCCAAGCCGGGGTCGCACCACACGTACAAGTCACAGAGCGTGTATGAGAGTGGGCCGAAGAGGATGGCTGAGTTGTCCGAGTTCAAGTAAGCCAAGGTGAAGTCTATTTTCCGAACATATCGGTTGAGGGTTCCAACCGTCCTTTAAAGCTTCCATCCCCCCAGAACCTGACCCGCAATGAGCCCTCAGCTGCTGAGGCCAGCTTGAAGGCGGGCCTGGGCAGGAAGGGCAAGAGAGTGTGCATGCTTTGGGTTTTTGGGCTTAAAGTTCAAGGTTTGCAGGTAGATGAAGGGCCACCTCAGTGGTCTAGCTTGAGAAAGGTTTTCGAAGTTTTTGCTCCTGGTCTTGGGTGGTCAGTTGGAAGCAGGGAAGAAGCCGTTAGACGTGCCATCGGTTTTGCTATCACTTGGCACAGTCCCATAAAATCACACCTCCGACTTTTCCTGACAAGCTTCAAGCCAGTGCTTGTGAACGAAGGTTCGGGGCGGTGCCGTGTCGAAACACCATTTAGGTCTTAAATCCGAGCACTCCAAAGCCTGAACGCTGGCACGGAAGTGACCATCTAGCACTGCAGGAATACGGGCTTTTCGGATTACTTGCTTGGATTTCAGGCCATGCGTGTCAGGGTTGAGGTCGTGAGAAAGTTGGGACCACGACTTCAGAGGTTTGATGCTTTTGAGCCGGGTCATCTCGCATCTTTCACGCTTTGCTTTCACCCGCGGCTGATGACTTGGCTTGGTTTGTAGATGTTTGTAGTTGGCAAGACTGCAACGTGGCTGAATGTTCTGCTGCTGCTTCTCATCTGTTTCGCTGTTGATCATAAAGGACGGCACAGGCCAGGCTTCCAGCAAAAGAAAGTGGAAGGACCTTCAAGCATTTTGTGTTTCTGTTGGATGGAGGTATCGCCCCCCTGCCATAAACCCATTTTCAACAATTGGTCGGCTTTCCCTGAAGAAAAAGATTTCGGGTGATTTTGGGTCGAGACGGCATTTTTTCGGTTTTGGCTAACTTCCTGCAGCGCGGGATCCCGTGAAGCACGCAGGTTGTGAATAAACGCAATGCCTTCGATGTGCAGCTGGACGGAAACTGGGCAAACGTCAAGCAGTCTTTATATGATTGCTCGGTTCTAGTCGTCCAGCCCTCACCCGCGCTCTTAACCCGGGAGCCCAATATCCGTACACTTGCAACCCTCAACCTCAACCTGCAGAAACCTTCTTGGATCCTCAAGCACTTGCACCCAATCACACCCCTGGCCCTCAACCCTCAAAAGCCCCTGAACCCTCAAAGCCAAACTCGAAACTTCCTCCGAGTTTCCTGACCCCCGAAGCTCAGGAGGGAGTTTCAAACAAGAAGGGGAACGCATATATATATATATACATACATACACATATATATATATATATACACATACATATACACATATATATATATATATGTATATGTATATGTATAGAGACCAAAACTCAAGGCTGAACCAGAGAGCTCGAAATCCTAAGCCAGGAAAGCCTGTCTGGGATGGCAGCGCTCTCGGTCCTCCGCGGGCGGCTGGGGCATGAAGAGAATCGGTGTGCAGTCGAAGAAGGTTGGAGGGTGTAGGGTTAAGGGCCTTCGCGAGTCCTGATAGCCCGATTTTGGGTGAATGTTAGGTGGATCATAAAAGAAGTTAAGTCACTTCGAACCCCACGTACCATGTGTTGAGGGGTTTGAGGGTACTCAAGCTGGACTCCTCCATGCCCAAGCCCAAACTTTGATTGGAAATCTTTGACTCTACGACGCTTCGACATTCTTCACCCTCCAAACTAAGCCCAAAAAAAGCAGCTCACAAGCGGCGGCTTTGGTCTAAAACAACTCGAATCCAGATACTCTCTCAACGCACTTCACGCGAGAGATTAGATCCTGAATCCTGAGTTACAGTCTGAACAAGCCCGACGGCTAAATTTCGAAGCCTTTGAAATCCGAAGCCAAGTGAGGCGCTCAAGTTTGAGATCCTGGACGGGACGAACCTCCACGATCGTGTAGTAGCAGCAGCGAAGAAGTAGGGCCGATGAGCGTGACGGCTTTCGGCTGTGGGTTCAGGCTTGAAGGCGAGCCTTTTTTCTCAGACCATCGTGGTCAATACGTTGTGTTTCTTGGGTGAACAGAATCTTCCGCAACGGGTTTAGTTCTTTTCTGCTTTCAGGTTGTCAACAAGTCTCCTAGGTCGTGAAGGTGTTTCACATCAAAAGCTCGGAACAAAACCTTCCGCTTGAGGCCTTAGAGCGTAGGAGCAGGCCATCGCCATCGCAAAAAATCGAAAAACTGCATGCCCTACACATGGCGAGCTTCAACCATGTGCATAGGTGCAATCATGGATTCAGGGCTTGGTAGGTTGTCGGTTCAGGCATGTCAATCGGTTCTGCAGCTTAGCATTGAAAGGTTGCAGCTTCAGGGGTCAACTCCTGAGCCTTGAGCACTGACCGCTCTGACGAATCTTGAAGCCTCAGCCCCGAGCCTTCGGCAACTCCAGCCACTGTGTGCAGTGGTGTTTGGAGGGAAGTTGTAGACTCCTTTGGCTTCCGAGTGCAACTGTATCAGTTGCAATCCACGAGCCTGCTCTAAGTGCCAGGAAGCTTTCAGATCTCCGATGCAAAAACCTTGCCAGAGCTTCCCTCCTGGTGGTCGTGCCAGCACGTCCGCATTCGAGGATTGACGTCGCAACTGCTGTGTCCAACTCTTCATTCCCTGGCCTGTAGCTCTGAACCCCGGTTTGCAGAAATTGCATATTTGAGCTCAGGTTTAGTTCTGGCACCAAAGCGCAACAAAACATTAGTGCGAAGTTCCACTGCGAAGTTAATCAAGCATGCCAGCCAAGCGTAGCATCCAATCCTTACAGCCCTAAGCTGCATCTGCCGACTTCGTTGCGGCGTCTCCTTGCTGGTGAAAAAAAGGCTAGAAGTGTGCAAAGGTGGAGCCGCACCAGCCCTTTCACACTCAAGTGGCCTGCCGGTTCAGGTCCTCCTAGGTTGGCCCTCTACCAACATGGGGACTCGAGATAATCGAAGTCTTTGGGTAGGGGGGCGACAGGCGGTTTAGAGCTTAGAGTCCGTTTCGGTTTCAGCTTGCCGATAACATTTTGATGTCAATGACTCGCAGCACTTAACTCTAGAGATCTGACCCTAAGCTTTGGATGACAGTTGTGCGTCCCCATGATGGGGGGGGGACCAAAAACTGAACTCTTGATTGTTTACAGCCTCGGAGCAGCGCAGGACGAGACACGCTTTGAATCATGTGTGCCTTGTCGTGTAAGTTGTCTTCGTCCTGAAGTCGATCGGTTCTTCTTCCAATAACTTCAAGATGGTTGCGAACCGTGCCTAGATTCCAATTCCGAAAGTTTCATGAGCAAGGGTCGCCTTGCGGAGGGAATCATAGGGCTCATCATGGTTTCGGTGCTTTCAAGGAGGGTTTGGCTCACCAAAATCAATGCTGAACTTCAAGCCGTAAGTCGTCAACTGTCAGCAAGACATTGGCGAGATCGTCTTGTCGTGTGAACTTCTCTTGAGATGCACAGCAGGCACGTTTCTGGACGGATGAAGACCAGCGATGCACACCGCGACGAATCCTGGGGAACCGATCCAAACTTCCAGCTCTTCGGTTCTAGAGTCCAACATAAGCACCTCTGGCAGTAGTGGCGGTGGTCATCACCGTCGATACTACCAGGTACCATTCCCACGCCGACGACAAGCAACAGTATCATCATCAGCATCAAAGAATCACCTTTGTCGCGACCTCGATCGCCGATATCTATCAGTATCACCACGGCATCTACTTAGATCCACATCTCAATCACAGCGTGCAGGGTAAACCTCAATCGCCTATCACGGCAGTTGCTACTTGCACCTGTTGAAAACCCCAAGCTGCAGAGCCCAAGCTCCCAGCAAGACTTCAATCAAGCTTTTGAAGAAAGAACCTACTGTATCTTCCCAGTGCAGTGATCTGTTCTATTGAGAATGGGCCGGTGCCGTCGCAGATCACGTTGGCCAGAGAGTCCTGGATGTGCCACGTGCGTCGTGAAGAGAAAAAAAGCAATGTAGAGCCTGGTAAGCTTGTTCTTGCTTCCTCCTTAGGTTCTGAACCTTGCTTAAACCCCACAGCTTTCAATCCATAAACGCTTTGGTGGGGCCGGCTTATCTGCTAGGGTTCAGATGCCGACACACATGCTTGTGATCGGGCTTGAGAAAGGACTGCAGCTAACGTATTTAGAAGGGAAGCCAGGTTGCCTACACAACATAGTGTGACAGTCATGGGATGTTGAGCGAGCTTCGTATCTGATTTCATGTGACGTTCATTTGCGTACCGTTGAACGTTGTCCTCGCCCTGTCCCTGCGCACAAGCCTAAGCCCTGAACAGACCGGCCCCCCATACCCCCCCAAAGGGGCACCGGTAAACCGTTTTTGTGACCTTAGAAAGGCTTTTACCCGGTTTTTGACACCACGACATCATGATGACATTGTGGAAACTTGACAGAGTATCTACGAACACATGTACGTCCGTACTATGAACAAGTTTCGAACCGTGAAACAAGATACTGCTCAGGACCGTATAAGACATCGCGCATGCCCCTTGCAGACACAAGATACGAGCTGCGCCAGGATGTCGCTAAAGCCCTGCAGAAGCTCCGAGCTCGAAAGCTCCAGGCCCCAAAAAACACCTACCAACCAATCCCCAGAACCCTGCGCCAAACATCGGACCCCAGACCCAAACCCTGAATCCTAAACCCCAAGACCCTAAACCCTAAGACCCTCAACTCTGAACCCCAAACCGACCCCACAGCCGCAAATCTCGCAGCTGGCCGAAGCTGCGTCGGGCCTGGGTCACTTCGCGGCATCCGCCGAAGTCTCGGTTGCCTTTTTTGGGGTTGAAACCTTGTGGTTTAGTCTTTTGGTGCGTTGTGCTTGCCAGGTCTGGGTTCGGGGTTGGGCACTTTAGGGCACCCTGTGTTGGTGGGCTGCTTGTTTTGATTCAACGCTGGCTTTGGGTCAAGCAGGGTTGCTAGCCGCTGTCGTCCTGCGGTGCTAGGGGCCGGAGATGCAGGGCATTGATGCAGCATGTGAGTGACCTGCGTGCCTTCGGCATGGGTTGGATGCTCAGCGAGCACGTTTTGCATCATTGTCCCTCCAAGGCTGCGGAGCTGCAGCGCCGACCCGCAAGCGAACAGAGCTGGGGGCCAGTCTTCCAGGGCCACGCATCGCCCTGAAGCCTCGGACAGCCGTCGGAGAGCCCACAGCACGCACCGACCCCGCAGTGTTCGAAGGGCGGAGGATTGGGGGCCCACCACTTTGTTGACCATGAGGTTCGTGCAGACATCGAGGCGGCGGAGGAGACGCCTGTTCGTGCCTAGCCGACTTAACTCGGAGTAGGACCTAGAGTCGCTTCGCGCCTTTGTGCAAGCTTCGGTTGAGGCTGCTTGTTGGTTCTGAGAGGTCGCGTTGAGACAGCTCGCCAGAACTGCACCGAGCTGGAGTGGACTGAGCGGCGTATTCCTGGAGTTTGGCGCAACCAGCTCCGCATCGTCAATGCCTGGGTTGGTGCCCAAATGGGGGAGCTCCTGATCTCCTCGTGAAGGCTGTCCTTGTGCAGGCGCCGACCAAGCGTGGAAACACATGCGTACTTCGGGTTCACGCGGATGCGTGTTTCTTCGAAACTGGGCGCGGGACTGTTTTTTCGGAAGTGGGCTCATTCTATATAGTTGTGGTCGTCTGCGCGACACATGTTCATGGGCGCTGGTTGATGGGCTGTCTGGACTTCTGATAGGCATGCGGGGCTTGGTTCGAGTCCGGCTTACAGAAATTTGGGCATTCGACGCCTGGTTACTGCGGATGATGCTCCTGTGAGTGGGGCTTTGATGAAATCGAGGCCCTTCTTCTGCAAGGCGGCGTTGGCAAGGTTGAGCTCCGTGGGAGCACCCTTGGTGGCAAGATGGCCCGCTCGAGCCGCGCACGCAGCTTTCTGGGGCATGCCCCTAGTGCGCTTGGTGTGGGCGGACGGCTGCTATGCCCTTTTATGTTGGCGGCTCGACTTGGATCTGCCCGATAGTGCGAGTTTTGCCCATATAGGATTCAGTGCAGTGCCCGCACTATCGCTTCGGGCGTGCGCCACCGGCACTGCACCCGGCACTGCACTAACCATCATAGTGGCAGGGGGCTTCCAGGTTTGCGTGTGACTGATCTGTCAGCCTTGGTCAAGCTCATGGCCGTTGCCCAATTTGATTGGAAGAGCCCATGCTGCAGGTTTGGACTTTCTCCGGGCCCTTCGGGATCAAAATCTGCGCTGTCCAGGAGTGTCTTTCGGATTGGTGTCCGTCAGCATCGGCTGGGTGCTCATCCTGCGGTGCCCATCAAGGAGTGGAAGGCTGGAAACATCTCTGTTAGCAGAGGCAAAACTGCCGCCTCGCGAGCCAGCGCCTCCGAGTCACTGTGCTGAATAAGGGCCCGCTTGGTGTTCTCGGTGTTTCGGTGGCCACAGCTGCGTCCTCCACGGTGGCAGCGACTGGAGCATCCAAGGCAAGCCATTGACTTTTCGCATTTGCAATGCTTTCAATTGTGATGCCTGCTTGTGGTCCTATTCTGCTTTCCCCCTGGCCAGCCGACGCAAAATGTGCCACGGAACGCGATGCTTTCGACCGGAGTCCGGGTCTCACTCCAGCTGAAGCGTCTGCAGGAGCGCTGGTCGTGCAAGCTCCCGCATACCTGAAACCTTTCTTGGAGCGCGCCGCCTCTTTGGTTTCTTTCTGTTTCAGTGTCCTTCCACGCAATCGCTGGATGCCAACGTGCTCTCTCCTGGGAGCGATCCTTCTCAGGTATGGGGGGTTCCCTGGAGTAAAGGGGTTGATGGCCCGGGGCCATGCTAATCCTCTAAGCTTCGCTGAATTTTGCCGCTCTTCTCAGATTTGATAGCCTGGCCAGCTCGGGTGGCTGTGGACTTGATCTTCCGGGCCCGCCTCATGGAGCGATGTGCACTTTCCTTGGGCACGTCAAACTCTTTGACGAGTGCAATCGGGTCGCTAAGCAAGCTCGGGTCACTGGCTGCTCTGCGTGGCATGAGCAGAAGCGGTTGAGGATCAGGGTCCCTTTCGTGGCCGCTCACAGACGAGTCGTCCTCGCTTGATGTGGCATGTTGGAACACGCCACCTGGCGCCTGCGTCATTGGCGCTGTGCAATCGAACGAACAGCGCGAGCTCCCTGCTCCACCCATCGTCCTCATTGGAATGGGTTGGCTCGCTGCGCTGCGTGGTGGGCGGCTGGTCTTCTTCTTCGTCAACGGCGGCTTATGGGGCTTCTTCCCAGCGCTGTGCAGCTTGCTGTGCTGTTAGGGCTGATGTGAGTTTGCTTCCGGGCGTTTCCCGTGAGCTTATCGGCTTATCCGACGCTCTCTGGTTTCAACCAGCTGGAAATGGTGCTGTTCTGGCCGATCCATCCCGCTGATGAATCGAATTGCAGGGCATTGATGGTTGGATAACAGCGTAGGTTATGCATGTTTGCGAAATTTCCAGAACCACCACCTCTAAGCTTTCCCGAAATTTATCATCAAAACTGTATGCTTGCCGCAAGCACACCCTAGCTGAAGAAACTCAGCTGGACCCACCCCGAATCGATGTGCCAAGGTGTCGGTGCAGGGCACCGGCCATTCCCGCAGCACGCCGGGGCCTTGATTGCTGTGCTGCAACCTAGCCCCGTTTAGGACGGTTTAAGCTTTAGGGTATCGGACCATGGGATTCAGAGTTGACTTGTGCTCGTCGGTCTCTTTGTTTGTGGTGGTTTGTCGGCTTGCTCCATATCATGTTGAAAACATTGCCAGGATGCATTCTCCTTTGCAGTGAGGCATGTCTAAATCAGTTGCATACTTGCGGTAGCCTGAGACCTCGCAGAAAACCGTCTCGGCGGCCGGCAGGCTGTTTCAGGTCAAGGACCCCAAGTCTTATGTGTCTCAAATCACCACGTAATAAAACCGTAAACTTACTGGCCAAATCCTAGCTCCGAACGGCGTCAACCTGTAATGCCTTACTCGCTGAACCGAAGAGGCGGGTGTTTTCGGAATTTATCAGCTTTGAGGTCGTCGAGTGAACAGGACCTTTTCGCTCATCTTGGGCACCTTTTTGCGCTCTAACATGTCCTTTCCCGTCTCTCGGCTTCGTTTGGCATCGACACATCGACTGAACTTGAATCACCCAGAAAAGATGCTGATGCCGAAGCTGTAGAGGTAGTGGCATACACCGCCAATCTGCAACGACCGAAGCACTGCACAAAAACGAGGTATGCAGAGGCCCAATGCGGCATGCTGTACATCGTTTCAGAAGATGGCTGGTGCCTCCCACCTTCCGCTGGTTTCCCAGTGCCAGGACCTGATTTGCTGGAGACCTAGGCTCCTGTCGCATAGCCATAGCCGGGCAACGAGGGCGGGTGTTTTGAGATGGGGGAAGTCAGTGTAGTGGGGCTCTGCATGCAAATAACGTAGGGTAGAGTAGACTAGGGCATGGATTCTTTATGCCCCCTTCAGCTGGAAGATCTTAAGCCCGAAGCCCTCTGCGCTGTTCGCCGCCGCCTCGGAGCATTTGGCACTGGGACACCCCGCCAGCTGCGTTCGGGAAGCAGGCGGGCTCCATGAGTGTTGCAATACTCGTAGCAGCAGCAGTAGGAATTCGGGTTGAGTAGTAGTAACAGTAGTAGTAGTCGTCGTCGTCGTCGTGGTCGTCGTCGTCGTCGTGGTCGTCGTCGTCGTCGTCGTCGTCGTCGTCGTCGTCGTCGTCGTCGTAGTCGTAGTCGCAGTCGTAGTGGTGGTGGTGGTGGTGGTGGTAGTAGTAGTAGTAGTAGTCGTCATATTGGTGGTGGTGGTGGCGGTGGTGGTGGTGATGGGCTTCAGCATCTGTACAGCTTGAGGCTTTGAGTTACATTATACTACATCAGGATTTTGGGCATGGATTTGGATTCGGCAGTGCGATTGCAAGTTGTGGGTGCAGGGGTGCAGATGCATTCTTTGAGGCTAGGATTGAAACGCGAGCATTTCGCTTTGTGCTGCTTGAAGGTTTGGCTTTGTGGATTTCGGGTTCTTTGAGGGCAAGATGGATCTTCGCTCGGCCGCGATCGCGGCCGCCTGGCTCGTAGTGTTTAGTCACGCGTGTAGCTCGGTCCTACAGGGACGTTGCAGCACAGGCGCATCGGCCTTTCCAGCCGGGCACCGGCGCTTGATGCCAGGGATGATGCGCTTACCGGCGAGCCAGGAGCAGATCCCCACGTGGGCGCGCGAGATGGACCGTGACTGGGTTGTCGTCTATGGACCCAGATCGCAAACCCCTCAAGCCCCTTTCATTTGGGGTTTAGGGCATGGCCTGAGGTTTCGGATCGAAGGTTTCCTCATACCGAATCCCGAGCCCGAGGTGAGATGATGCAGCGCCCGCAGACACTCCAGGTGCCCATGGCAGAGAAGAACAAGGCGAAGTTCTGAGCGAGTCCTTGGAAAATGGCTTCCGGCGAAATCAAATCACGACCTTGTAGCTCTCCAATAGTGGTATATGCAATCATAGCTTATGTTGTGCTCCTAGGTTGGCGGGTTTCGCGCTCTGCAGTGCGTGCTCAGTATGTGAAAGTCCTCGAAGGGAGCCATGCCATGCCAGAGACCGGTGTTGAAGGAAGTCTGCTGCAAGCCTCTTCGGTTTCGGGGCGGAGCGTCTCAGGGTTGCCAGCAATTTCTTCCACTTCGGGCAACCCTGAACACTGCAATAAATCAGGTGCCATCCTAAGATCCCTGAAATCTGCCAGTTTCTGTTTGTTACTCGAGTTCTTGGGGTTGACGTGCCACGACCGGAGGACGAGCCAGAACACTGAATACCAAGCCTAAGTCAGACATAGGACCCAGGATTCGAGGCTGCCGATGTTGTGGATGCAGAATCCAGCGTTAACTGTTGCGGGTTTAGTGAAGTGTTGATGCCGAAGAAGAGTAGGAGACGTAGTTGTAGTCCCAGTCGTAGTCGTCGTAGTCGTGATGGGGATTGTGGCGGCAGTGGCAGAAGACGAAGAGACCGCTAGAAGCTAAGGCAGCACTTGGAGCAGCATGGTGCATTAGTTTTCAATAGCAGCAGCAGTCGTGCTGGCAGGCCTGGTAGTGGCAGCAAACACATGATTATTAGTACTTATTACTGCAGGGGTTCAGAACCAGCACTGTCGCAGAGGCACGCAGCTCATTTGGCGATCTGAGCACCACGGCGAGCTCTGCCACCCGAGGAGATGCAACACCATGTCCACGCTCTCACTTATCCAGTGTTTGTAAGCCAAATTGAAGCTTACTTGGCGTGTGAAGCTTGCGCCCAAATCCGCCAATGCATCGGCTGGGTATCCTTGTTGGCACCTTGCGACGGTGACATCTCGTGCACAATCTGGTGGCGCGTACTTGGGTCTGGCTTCACTGTTTGGGGATGGGACATGAACTTGGTGCATTGTTCCGAAAGCGTGCACCTTTAAGCCGTCTGGTCTGGAGCCACCGTCTAGCCGTGCAGTGCAGCTGCTGGAAGCCATCCTTACCTCTGAAGCTTGAGTGCGAGTCGAGGAGATCTCTCGTCTTCGTTCTCGTTCACAGGCTCGGAGGGAGGTTGACCCCTAACGCCCTAAACTTATGCATCCTCAGATGCTTTTTTCCGTGCGGGTCCCTGGTAGTGGTTCACCCGGACCGCCAGTTTTGGAACAATGCCCACAGCACGATCCTTAACTCCGGAGCCCGAGGCTCAAACACGAAAGTGTGGAACCCAGACGAGGAGTCTCCGGACCGCCGTCTCAGCCGCGAAGCAGCTTGAAACTGGGCCCGTACTGAACCGCGAGGGGTGGTGGTCGTCTAAACCCTGAATTGCGAACGACATCTCAAAGCTCAAGACTCCAAACCCGACAAGCTTCCAGCCTCAGTGCATCCCGAATGTCTTGCCCCCCGACAGGCAGCAACAGTGTCCTGGACGAGGACCGGGCAGGGGGACCCAGAACCGGAGTTGATGCGCGCCTAGCAGGCCTAGCAATTTCAAGCAGAAAGGATGGGTTTAGGTTTTGCGCCACAGGCTTCCGGTGAGGTTTCGGCTTCAACTTCTCACAGGGTTTGATCTTCAGGGGTTTAGGGATAAAGGGTCAGAGCACTGCGGTAGAAAGGGAGGACAACCTTGGAGTTTAAACTGTGGGATTTCGGAACATGAAGCCAGACAGGGCTCTAGTCTTCGAGAGGATCCTATGTAGCCGCCACTGATCAGGCCCTGCAATCAGGAGACACCCGAATTAACTCCGACAGCTGAAAACTAAATCCTGTGCCCTCCTACACTCTCCAACTTCTCTCCGAAACCCTGATCCCCAGTATATTGATATGACGATTGTTTCATACTATCCTACAGTGTGATCATGACGTCATAGCTGTAACTATGCTCTAAGCTCTGTTTGTTGTGCAAGTGGTAGTCCGGTTTGTTACGGCCAAGAGAAGGCCAGCAAGGATATGTGGACAGGTCCCCCCTAACCTTTCTCTTTGCTTCAGGTCGAAAGAACACATCGGTTGGCGGAGTTTGTGCACCCTGGTCCCATTGGTAGGGACATCTAGGGTTTGTTGGGGCTTAGGGGCTTGCTTTTTGTCTGAAGGGTTTCGATGTTTGGCCTTTTTCCTCCCTATTTGGGCGATTTGAAAGGGCGGTTGCTGGAGGTGCAGTCAGCGCCCCAACAACTTACTTGGGCTCAGAGGCTGCACAGGAAAGGATTGGGAACTTCATTCTCGGCACCTGAACCCTCAATCTTGTCAGCTTCGAGGCGTAGGCGGGCACAAGTTGCACAACCAGGTAGGGGGTTTGGGGTTTGGGCAGCTGCCAAAGCTGCGTTTTTGTATACCAGAGTTTTGGTTGCGAGGATTTGGTAGGTTTAGGCGGGAACGAACTCTTAACTCCGAGCCCTGTTACTGCTGTTGTCTAGAGCACGGACGCCCGGCCCTTAAAGTCTCACCATTGCTCCGTAGATCCTACAATCCTGAAGCGCTAGAAAGTTTTGCACCTGTCACGGTTTCTTACTGCCCCTCGGAACGCTAAGCACTCTTAACAACTTAAAACTTCAAGGTTGCAAAGCGCATCATGCAGCATCATATTAAGTCATGCAGTATTATCCTAGACCCTAATCCGTAATCGTAATCCCAAAACCCAAAGCCCAAGAACCCTAAACCTTTTTCTACACGCCGACATCCCGAAATGCCCTCCCCCATAAACTCACCAGACCCGTAAACGCCCATGGACCCGTTATAGAACCCTTTAATATGACCCTTTAAGACATCTAAACCCTAAACCTTCTAAAACCTAAACCCCGAACCCCTAATTGACCCCATCCCCACCTCTGCGTATCCCTTATGGAGACCTCATTCTTGAAAAGGCTCCAATCCCAACCCTTATCGAACCTCCTAAAGGACCCGAAAGAAACCCCAAGCCCCAATTACTAAAAGGCTCGAATAGCAAGTCCATCAAAACCCGAACCCACTATGGACCCCCGTTAAGGTCGTAAACTCCATTCCCTAAACCCTCAACCCTAAACCCTCAACCCTAAACCCTCAACCCTCAACCCTCAACCCTAAACCCTCAACCCCAAAACCCTCAACCCCAAAACCCTCAACCCTGAA